CTCGTTGAGTTGATAGAAGCAAAACGGGTAATCATGACGGTGAAACGCGATGTCAGCTCCCCCCTGATAAGGAAACTGGAAAGCTTCTCGTCCTGGAGCAGATTAATTCGTTCCGTCGCTTGGTGGATAAGATTCAAACATATAGTGATGATCATGACCGGATTTTGGCCAAACGAATAGCTGCGTGTGGGACCTTCATCGACGGACGACTTATTAAGAGCGGAGCATAACGTCGTGAGATTAGTGCAACTGCAGCACTTCCCCCTCGAAACAATGATTATAAGTGAACGCAGGGAATAACCAAAACAGGACCGCGATTCAACGGAGCGCACTGCGTAAGCTGAACCCTGTACTGGTTGAAGGGTTGCTACGCGTGGAAGGGAGACTGGACAATTTTTCCTTGGCCTTCGACGCTGGACTTCCGATCATTCTGGCAGCCGGTAGCCCTGTCATCACCTCGCTTATACGCCACCTTCACGTAGAAAACGGACACGAGGGACCTGACCAACTACTGAACGCCATTCGTGAGAGATTTTGGATAACACGTGAGAGAACCGCAATAAAGGTAATCATCGGTAGATGTATGTTCTGTCTACGTCAAAACGCGGTAACTGGAATGCAGCTGATAGCACATTCACCGGAACTCAAGGTTCAAACGGGGTGGTGAACGTTCGCGGAGACGAGAGTGGATTATTTCGACCCCTTGCTGGTAAAGTGCAGGAAATCGGTGGAGAAGTGGTGGCGAAGTGGTACGGGTGTCTGTTTACCTGCATGCATTCTCGCGCGGTACATTTAGAGATGGTACACAGTATGTCTACTGAAACTTTTCTGATAGCACTCCGAAGGCTGATTAGCAGGCGCAGAGCCCCAAACAACATTTACTCCGACAACGGTTCAAACTTCGTGGGCTAGTCGAATGAGCTGCAAAGGTGGCTGTCCCGAGTAGACCAAAGTGAACTACACAAGCGACTGAGATCCCAAACTATCCAGTGGCTTTTCAACCCGCCGTATGCTAGCCACAGAGGCGGGGTTTAGGAACGGGTGAGAAGGTCGGTGAGAAGGATCCTATTGGCTGGGTGCAACCAACATTTCATCGACAATAATAATAATAATAATGTATATTTCACGAAACCCGTGAGGCATGCACAAGGCATGATCATGTGTTCAAAATAATCATATGTACAACGTCAGTACAGGTAGATAGATAAAGTACTTGGAAGACGTACATACTGGAGATGGTAGAGGAGCAGAACGAAAACGCTGTGTAA